TGAAAATGAATAGGTACTTCCTGAAAAATCTTATTCATACTGCGATGTTCATACGACTGTTTTAAATAAATAAATTTTAATTTAAATATTTTAGAAACGAGAAAAACCACCCTGGTATGTATTTATTTATTATTGGTGTATATTTTAAGAGATAAAAATAAATATTTGATTAATTGTACTCTAAATTCCAAAATTCTTCTATATATTATGTATAAAAAATTTGTACTTAACTTATATAATTATCGAAGGATCAATATTTTGTTGATCTGAAAAAATTGAAATACCCAGATAATGTGTTTGGCGGAATTTAAGTATCCTTCATATCCATAGTATGAAACAACAATACAACTTGGTATCCGCCATTGGTCATTTTAGAGAACGTGTAGTCCTCACATTTGCCATGTCCTCCTTTGTAATTTCACAGAATTCGTCGGTATGTCTCGTTACCTTCCACGGCTTGAATATTTCAAATTCGATAAAGTTTAGGTACACACCATAACCGTTTTTGTAAAGGAATACGGTTTGAAAATTCCAATTACACGTCGGAAGCTTATTAATTTATGCCATGACTTTGTTATAAGCCATGTATATACATTGAATATAGCACTGTGTTTATTTATTTATACACATTTTGAAGCTACGGTATTCTTTGCGGTTAAACGTGCCGTGCCAACATCCTACCCGAGTTTGACTCAAAATGGATAAGCGATATCTCTTGCTAAGCTTTTTTTTGCAAATTTATTTGTGTAGACTTATGGCCCAGTGTTATTATTGAACCCTTTGCGTAAAAAGAATTGCACACTTAGAGGCTGGTAAAAACGGCATGTATGACATGACATTCGTGTACTATAAATTAGGTACGTACACGAATTCACAAACTGATCTACTCAGTCGATTTGACAGGATATAAGAAAAGACTTTCAGCGGTCGACGCATTGCAGCAAATGGAGACGGTATCAAACGAGTAACTAACAAAATAACTATAAAAATAGGAGAAGTTTATATTCTTAAACTAAGGGTTTTCTTATTCAGGTATTACCCTGTTGCATGACCAATAGACTAGTTACCATATAATTCAGATTTTATGCACATAAACAAGTATACATACATAAAATAATGTAACGACTTTTTCAGTTGTAATAGAGTTGTATCAATTGGATTACATTTTTACTTTTTTATTATTCCTTTAAACAAAATGTCTTTAAGATCAAATAAAAAACAAAACGTAGTACATAATTTTATCCAATTAAATTTAAATCTTGAAAAGCTATTTATTTATAATTGTATGTCATTTTAAATATAGAAAAAGCTTCGAATAACTATTATTAGCCAACTGTAGTAATATACTCGCCACTATTATAATATGAAAGTGGGCTACTCGTGTCCACAATAATAGTTTTTCATTTAATCTTTTTATTTAAGATTATTAACACTTATTTATAAATTATATTCATATGCTTAAAATAACATGATTGTTTTTAAATAAAAAACTTAGAGAAATATTTAACAAAAACATACTGTCCTTTAATTATATTATATTACACACGATACAGCCATGAGGTCAATAATTAGTCACCTTTAAAAATCACTCTTTAAGAAACTTATAAATTATACTTATCAGTTTTTTTACTTTTATTATAATAAACATGTCAACCCCTAGTCTTAAATGTAAAAACAAACTATATTATTGTTATATAAAAATGTATTGTATATTATACACATGTATTAAATTATATATTTCATATTTTATGCTTACTTATCAATAAACGATAACATTACAAGATTGACACAATGATGATTGTTAGGGGATACAAAATACTACAAAAGGCACAGTAAACCTTCTCAGACAGTGCTGAAGGGCTTGGGGGAGTTTGTCTCCAGATATTCAAAGAACTGTTATAATCGCGCTCTCGGCATCGATACGTAAAATTCGTAATCATCATTAACGAAATTCTCACTTGTTAATTTAATTTCCTGTTATTTTATGATTACTTGATACTATTAAAAGTTATTATAAGAATAAAATAAAATCATCAGGTAAGATTTCAAATCAATATAGTCAATATTATTATGACTCAATTATTTAGGATTGATAATCTGAGTACAGAATGATAAAGCAATTGATCAAATAATCATTATATTAATCTTCAAACATCAATTAATTATTACCAACTAGTTCGTACCTTATACATAATCACATTACATGGTATTCGTGAGACGGCCACCGCCTCTTCGTTGCCTCAGTGTATTATTACAGGTACTAACTTACTAGTTGGGTCATTTATAATATCTCTATATGAGGAACCTTAATTATTTCTTCTTATTTATTTCTAAACCCTTGGACTCTACAACCCCGAAAGAACCTCGTTGCTCACCAATTGACCAAATCCCCAAACATACATAAACTTGTCAATATACACAACACACATACACCTATTTATATCTTTATTTTCGTATTACTACACAACAGTTTTTAATTTTTATAATTATGCTATTTATATTTATAATATCGAAGATTTTTTTTTCATGTAAAATATTATTATCACTTAATGCTCTACTATTATTGATAGACTTTCTATACATTCGAGTACTTCTTCTTCTTCTTCCTCGCGTTAATCCCAACTACTTCGAGTCGGCCAACCTTATCCTAAACTTCCACTTGACACAATCTCCCACATCATCTACGCTCACATCAGCTGTCCTCAAATCGCATTCAATAGCATCCATCCATCTCTTTTTTGGTCTTCCTCTACCTCTTCTTCCTTCAATATTCATTTCTACAACTGTTCTTACAGCTTCCGATTCTTCTCTCCTCATAACGTGACCAAACCATCTAAGTCTATTTTCTCTCATCTTATCCACGATTGACCTATACTCCCTCTTATCTGCTCGTTCCTTATTCTATCTTTCCTAGTCACTCCACTCATCCATTTAAGCATTCTCATCTCTGCTACATTCATTCTCTGCTCTACTTTCTTATCACCCGCCCAACACTCTGAACCATACATCATAGCTGGTCTCACTATAGTCTTGTAGAATTTACCTTTCAGCATCATTGGAATTCTTTTACCGCATAAGACGCCAGACGCTTCTCTCCACTTCAACCACCCGCACTTAATTCTGTATCTTACATCCTCGTCAATACCACACCTCTTTTGCACAACTGACCCTAAATAGTTAAAATTCTTCACCTCTCCTATGGTCACTGACATCCTCATTTCATCTACCTCGTGTTCTCCTTTGTCAAACTCGTACTCTATAATACTCTGTATTACTTCTACTTATTCTTAAACCCTTTTCTTCAAGAGCTGATCTCCATACCTCTAGCCTTTGATTAATTTCCTCCCTATTTTCTCCTATTAACACTATATCGTCAGCAAACAACATGCATCACGGCACTTCTCCTTGTATTTCTCTAGTAATTTCATCCATCACCACTATAGAGAATAAATAAGGCTTAAAGCAGAACCCTGATGCACTCCTACTCTTTCTCTAAAACTTTCCGTTACTCCTCCTATGCTTTTTACCCTGGTACAAGTGCCATCATAAATATCTTCTATGTACAACCTCTCTTGGTACTCTATCATACACTTTCTTCAAATCTATAAATACCAAACACAGCTCTTTCTTCTTTTCCCTAAACTTTTCTATTAGTTGCCTCACGCAAAATACAGGTTCCATTGTTAACTTACCAGGCATACATTCGAGTACAAGAAGAATAAAATCTTATAGGCTTATAGAAAAAACTAAGCAAACATAAAACTTTTTTAAACATTTAACTGATTCCCGCAACTAAAGATTAGTGATAAGTTAAGATAAGATATACGTGTTTTCCTTAGTTTCTAAAATTTGTTTTAGTTAACAGAGGGATAAACCAAAACATTTAATACAGATATTTAATATTATTATTTTTTTTTAAATGTTCATCATTAAATGTGGTTATCTAACAGTAAAGCAATGAAGCTCTTAATTATGATAGTACAGTCGAAATCTGAGGCTAAAAGTTTTTTCATTTTACTCGAGTATAATTGATATATTGATTAAGTATTATACAAAGTGGCTATTGGATATTTACTAATTATAAATTACATATATTTCTGGATCAAATATACCATTAAATTAAAAAAAAATTACACTTCCATCTGTAAAATTTAATGTGTTTAAAAATAACTTTATGTTACAAGCAATTTAACGCGTTTTTCTTAAATGTTACAATCTACGAAGTACGCAAAAGAATGTTACAAGTAAAAGGAACAAACTTGGAATGTCTATTAATAGTTTTCGGAGCGTCGTATAAATATTATTGTTGGTGATTGTCCGCAAGTTAAACTTGTTAAGCCTACTGACTAACTTACTGAAAATCGAACGAAAGTTTCCATTTTATTTGCATGAGATTTTAGTCAGATGTTTATTACTTTATTCCAAACTTTTACGACTCATACGTGCCCGCCCGTTCAGTTTAATTTTAAAAATACGTTTCCGAGAATAGTAAGCAGCCGACAATTAACCCCTTAAGAACGAAAACGTTCTAGTCGATTTTTAAAAATTATAATTTACGTTTTGTTTTAAAGTTTTCTCTTGAAAAGTTCAACTTGAATACAATAAAAATATTTTGATATTTTTCTCAAAATTAAAATAGTTTATTTAATACTTTTGGGTCATATTGAATATTATTATTGTTATGGTTTTTCCCACACCCAAATATTTCTATCATATTACCAACAAATATTTAAACTAAAATAAATATTCGCTTATACAAACATATTTAAGTAAATTTTCATGTATTCTACTGTATATAATGCTTGTATATTTAAAGAATTGATAGTCGAAACAATATTTTTCAATATTATATTTTAAAATTATTATGAAAATCTATAAAACAACATATATTTCAATAATTGGGCAATACATTTTTGGCCTTATAATATGTTCAAAAATTTATTAAAATTACCATGATAAATAAAAATAAATAAAACCAGAATAATTTACCATGAATAAATAATACTTGAATTGAAAAAAAAACATTAGTGAAGAATCTTATCTTTTAGATTCGATGCGAAGCTGAAAAGGTACTGATTTTACTATGATGTGTTTTTTTTTTGTTTTGTGTCTGTTAACACTTTTTCTCTTGTCGAACGGATTTCTTTCAATAATACATCAAAAGATCACAATTTGTATCTAGTCGAAGACATTACCCTTAAAATTTACCTCGTTCCCTGTAAATTGGGGAAATCTCAAAAAAATTACAAATTTAAAAAAACATTAATGTTCAATATTATTTCAATTTTTTTTACTTAAAACTGCCATACATTTTTTAAAAATGACCTAATGAAAACTTTGGGACTAAAGAACAGCTCTAAAGTTTTAAATTCATCTTCAGCTTTCAAAATCGATGACCTCTGTTTCAATTGTCAATCGTGTACAGTTTTTTCCATCATTCTGGCAATTTGTGGATTCCATCCCAAAAGAACTGCGCTGGCTTGACGGCCAAGAATGTATCAAGCCAATTTTCGATATCTTCAACTTTGGTGAAATGTTTTCCAGCAAGGGCATTCTGCATCAATAGGAACAAATATTAGTCAGAAGGGGCAATGTGTGGTCTATAAGGTGGCGAGGCAAAACTTACTATTAAAATAATATTAAAAATAAAGAATCGTTTAACATAATTATCAAAGGATTGTATTGAACATATACATAATATATACTCCCACAAATTCAAATATTCATTAAATAGTTGTTTTAGAATATGAATAAACCTAGTTAAAATATAATTGTACAAAATATATATATATATAAAATTCTATAGCTAAAAATTATTTTAACAGTTATACTTTTAACATTATTCATAATAGCTTAAGTTAATTATGGCTGCTACCATTCCAGCACTAAAAATTGAAACTCCCAAGATCATCATAAGTAAATCTTTGAAAATTATAATTTTTTTGTGGCTATTCCGTCAATCCCGTATACTATGCAAAACTCGACCAAATATGGAAAAACCATAAAGTTCCATATGCTAATGCAACCTAGTAATACCATCATCTGACCCAGGAATTTGTCCATAAACCAAGAACCTAATATTGTTGAGCGTAACTTAAGAAAAATATCGTTTTTTAAAACAGATATTATTATAATAAGGTGAAAACTAAAAACCAAAATACATGTTTGATTATCATCTTTTTAGCCGTCATATTAATTTTAGCTTCGATGCGAAGCGGAGAAAGTACTAATTTTACTATGATGTGTTTTTTTTTTTTATGTCTGTAGCCACTTTTTCTCAGCTCTCACTGGACCGATTTCTTTCAAAAACACGTCAAAAGATCACAAATCGTATCTAGTTGAAGACATTACCCTTAAAAATTGAAAAAAATTCCCTCGTTCTTCGCAAATGGGGGAAATATCCAAAAAAATTACAAAAAATCGCTAATTTTCGAAATTTTTTCAATTATTTTTACTAAAAACTGCCGTAACTTTTTTAAAAATGAACATATCAATATAATTCTTGTTTTTTATAGATGCATGATGTCACTACCTATAATTTGGTATATTTTTTTGAAAATCTATCACTTAACCTGCTCATTAGGGGGGGTTTAAAATAGCAACATTTTTACAAAAATTAACTTTTTCAACTTAATTTTTGAAAATGTTCTGGAAATACTGCGTCCTTCAAACATATATAAAATTAAAGCTTATTTTATGTACTATAAAATGAAAAAAAAAATTTGTCCCAACGACCTATCTTCTATGTGCAAATGGCTACCGTATTCAAAAATATGCTATTTTAACAAATTTTTTTTTTTTAAATTAAACACTATCTACAGATTTGAATCGAAGCGTTTTTTATGATAGTGATTTTAATCACTGTCAGATATCTATACTGGACCCAACTATGCCACGACCCCACTGTGCCGTCACCCCACTATGCTGGGTTTTTTTTATTTATTCTTTGAAAAATATTGCTGTCGTAATAGTAACGTTAAAATAACTTTTAAGTCAATAAGATTTTATAGAAAAACGAGGTTTTCCTACGCATTTGTGGTTAGTTAACAATCATGTAAACTATATTTTGAAGACTAGGTCGTGTTTACACCATTGAAATCTTTACTATAGACGTCATACTAACGTAGTTATATGACGTGGCATGAAGATATTTTAGACAGGGTCGTCATTTGTGGTACACAAGTTTTACACTTGCGTACTAATAAATATAGTTTAAAGAAACTAAAAAAACACGCTTTTAAAGCACATCGAACTAAAAAGTTAAAAATAATTTTTAAAATAAGCTTAAAATAATAATGAACGAAAAATACTAGTATTATTGTGATAAAAGCGTCGGGCGCTCAATATACGAAAATTATGGCACAAAACAGCCACGTCTATAAGGCGGGTGAGGCAAAACTTACTATTAAAATAATGTTAAAAATAAAGAATCGTTTAACATAATTATCAAAGGATTGTATTGAACATATACATAATATAATTGTTCCAAATATATATACTAAATTAAAAGCTACTACATCCAAGGAAAGCAGCAGGCGCGTAAATTTACTTACTCCCGGAACGTGGAGGTTGTGACGAAAAATGACGATACGGCTATCATCCTTTGTAATCGGAATGAATACACTCTATATCTCTTAATGAGAATAAAGCGTGTTAATATTTTTAATAGTAATTAGAATATATATATACATGTAAAGCAACTTAAGTACGTAAACGTATTATGCACTAGGTATAGCCGTGTTTTGTGGGCGAGGGAACGTTATACCTAAGGTATAAACGGCAGTAGGAATATATAAATATATATACGTAAGGCCCATTACACGCGGACGGTATTGGTCAATCAAAATAAAAATTTGTTTATATATATAAATATAATTGATGACACGCACGCGTGTACGGGTACGAAAACCGAAATAAAATTTTTTAGGAAAATATTGTTGTCAGCGAGTGGTGAGCGGGGTGGTGTGAATGCGTTACGACAGTCTAGTCTCAAGGCCATAGACGACGGGATACGCGAGAATAATAACACGTGGCGGGTGGAGAGTTACACACAAAAAACAACATACATGTGAAACTAATATTAGTGTGTTAAAAAGTAACCAAAAATGATCGCAAAAAGTTTTATAAACCTCTGTTTAAACATTTTTGTACGTTAAATAATTTAAATAAAGAACCCTTTGCATCACCACACTCAACCACTTGTGATCTATGCGATATCTTTACGTAGCAATAAAAAACGATTGAAATGACGCCCCCGAATTGAATTTGTTTAAAAAAATTACACGATCATCAATGACATATACAACTAACCAGACATGCAGATAATTCCCACGTGAAATTTATAAAGCCAATAAAGTTTAATAACTTTAAAATAAGCCAATTTCTTTTACATTTCGGAGGTGATGCCCAAAATAATAAAATTCATGTAAAACATTTTGATGCATACTAGATATATAAAATGAGTATATGGCCATAAAATACTTGAGGAACCTGGAATCATTTGATGTGTTTCCCGTTTTAAAAAGGTACTGCTATCTTACTAAGTTGCTTAATTAAAAAAAGAAGACACTTATTTGACATATTCAAATATAAAAAAACTATAAAATAACCATGGTTCGGTAAAGCGGTTAACAGACAAAAACTGAGTTTTGACGTTTTGAAAAAAGCCGTGTGGTTACTTGGCTTTTTTCCAATTACAATAAATATATTAGTAATTGAGAATATGGAAACTTTCAATACGCTGAAAACTTTAGGATTAGAGAACAGCTCTGGAGTTTTAAGTTCATCTTCAGCTTTCAAAATCTAAACATCGTTTAAAAATTAAAATTTTGTTTAAATATCGCTTGGAACGATTAGAAATTAAAAATCAATAAAAAATTTAATAAAATACGTTTTCAAATAATATTATTTATGTCTTGTATATTAATAATTATTACCTATTAATAAATATACAAATAATAGTTATTTTTACAACCAATTTTCATTATATGAATAGTACTAAACAGATATAAAGTATTTACGTACAAGAAACATATTTCAACTTACTTTAACATCTGCTTTAAAAATAACACTATGTATACTATATATGTTCCCATTAAAAACACACTCATGAACTCAATAAATCTTTGTATGTAAGGCATATACTTGGCCGTTGGAATAGCCACGAATAAAAACCAAAATATCATATAAATTATACATGCTTCGACTTCAGTATCGACTAAGTGCTTATACAATTAACAAGCTATATTAATTGGCTTCATACTTCCGACTTTGATTAAGTCATATAAAGTAATATTATAGTGTCTCTTTCGAGATTGCTTTAAGCCAATTGAATCAAATGGTCATGGTCGGAGTAGAATGTAGTTATCTTGTCTTTCTATATCAGTTTAGTGATCGTAAATAAACTACATATACATATTATACAATTATTGTATTATATGTATATGTAGTTTGATATTGTTTACTTACTAAAGTATTTACGTACAAGAAACTTATTTCAACTTACTTTAGGCAATGAAGTGCATGCGAACAATATTACACCTAAGCCTTGAAAAATATCAATATAATCCCCGTTAACCAACGTTGCTTCGTGTACATATGCTTTAAAAATAACACTATATTATACTACATATGTTCCCATTAAAAACACACTCATGAACTCAATGAATTTGATTTTAACCATTAACCAGAAATATTAGGGCTGTCACAGATATTTCAAAACCTAAAACTCCAAAACAAGTAAGTAGCTTTTTAGGCATGTGTAGTTATTATAGACGACTAATTAAAGACTTTTCCAAAATAGCTAATCCTCTCTTTGAATAAACAAAACTAAAACATAACTTAATTCTGGTAGCTTAAAAACATTTTTTTAGTCAAATTTAATTCTCTGGTCAACCTCAAGTAGTTGGGATTAAGATGACCAAAAAGAAGAGTCAAATTTAATTATTTATACAAATTATTATTATGAGCATCTAAGAGAACTTTGACAGTGATTTGAGTCACTGTTGAATATTTAAAACTTAATCTCAAAACTTGCGAAAGACAGGGCAATTTTCGTAAGCTATTTTATTCGATATTAAAACTTGAATTAATTAAAGCGTATTTAAAGATTCGAATTGAGAGACAAAAATAATATTATTCAATTGATAAATTTTTTTAATCATTTTATGATTATGAACAAAATAGTCATCAAAATATCATATATGCTGACATTTTTATAAGCATGGATATATAAAAGGCACAATAACGTCCATTATTTTTTTCCTTAATACAGAGTGGCCCACCACTCACTGACAACTTAAATAACTTTTGATCCAGTTAATATTTTTAGCTGATTTTTTTTTTTAATAATTGTTATACGTTAGGTCTATAGCTATATCTCAATAATTAATTTTTTTACATTTTATTAAAAAAATTAATTATTTTAAAATTTTAAATAAAATGTAAAAAAAAAATCTAAGATAGCTATTTTGTAGAGTAGAATTTAAGAAAAATTTTAGTAAAAAAATATCTTATTAATATTCAGTAGTAAATATTCTGTAGCGTTTTGAAGTTTGTGAAAATTTGAATTTTCATGTATTATTTTACGGTATTAAACATTGAAATACGTATTGAGAAAAGGACAGAAGAAAACACTATCTTTTCGTGATTACTATAATTTGGAGGTGTGTAACTTTTTCCATGAAAATGACATACTTTTGAATGAGAGTGATAAGTAATAATTGCCTTATCAAATTTCTTATCATGGTATTAATGCCAAGGTTGTAAATGATTGTCAATATAATTTTGTCAATACTTTCAATTGGCGTTTTGCATTCGACGATTCTTATGTATTCTCATTAATTTCAAATATTCGACTATATATACACAGTTCAATTCTAATTGGCTTAGAAATTATCAACATAATTCTTAATTAATCTAAACGGTACTATTACGAAGTGAATCACAGCATTCCATTAGTAAGTAGCACATCGTAAAGATATTTTATTTGTGGCGATTTAATGCTTGAAGTCAAAGAAAGATTTTTCAGAGAATTTAACAATTTTACAATTATTAATAGTTTAATAATTATTAATATGTTTATAGAGGCAAAAATTTTTAAGAAATCTGTAGTAAAACGTTTAAACATTTTAGAAACAAGAAATAAAAAGTACACTCGTATCCCTGCGCAGGGGATCATGAAAAAGAATCGAGTGAGACATATTCAAAAGAATTTGAACCGAAAAAATAATTTGGGAAATATAAATATATCAAAAAACCAAGAAGAAAATCATGCATCAAATGAAATTAATGAACATGTAGAAAGCTTTCCTAACACTATAAATAATCGAATGGCCGAGGAATCAAGAAGTCAAAAGTAATATTATTATTATCTATCTTAAAATAAGTAAACAAATACATTAATAAAATTTAAAAAAAGAGTAGTTACTACACAAGTAATAAAACTTAAGTGTGTGAAATTCAAAATTATTGAATTCTCACTAAAATTTAAACAAACTATGATTATATTAAAGATTTAAATGTATCTTCTAATATACACTTTTGAGTCGGAGTTTGATAAAAAATAAAGCGAAATGACTAAAGAAAGAAAACGTTAATTCAATGTATAAAAATTATTTCATAAAATTTTTCTTCGGATATATACAATAATCATTGATATGTATAGTATTTAGAAAAAACTAAGGACAGGAATCTTAATATATTTTTATGACAATTAAAAATTAAATCAAATAATAATACAAATTTTATAACATAAATTTGTTTACTTTTAAGCAATCGTACAGTCCGTCTCAATGCCGCATCGTTAGAGACTTTACCAGGTCAAAATAAACTCTCAGACTTAAAAAGAAAAAAGTCTGAGACATTATGCATCAAGATGTTTTACATAAATCCATTTTATTGTTTTGGACACCACCTCTTAAAAAGTCTGAAACATTGGAGGATCAAAAATCTAAAGCAAGAAAAATGTTTAACAATCCTAGTAAGTACATTTTTTTAAATACAAAATAATTTAGTTTTGCTGTGTGAGAAAATAGAAATAAAAATTGTTTAATTTTAGGGTTAATAAATATTAAAATCTTTTCTAGCTCATCATAATCAAATGGCTGATGATAATGACGCGGTTACTCAAAACGACCATCGTTATAAAGTACAGCAAGTATATGATGATAACACGAATACTTTTCTGCAGTGGATTAAGAGAAAAATAAGTATGGCGAGTGGGGACTGTTATAATACTAATTCCATGACAGCATATCTCAATTTCATATTTATTATTTCTATATTACATGGTTTGTACGGTGGCTGCGTCGGTTATAATTCAGACTTTAACGCTCGGCATACGAAGTTCAAACCCCGCCCGTTAAAATGACTTTTTATTTATTTTTTCTTAATTATTTATGAGTTAGAATACAATTTTCAACTCATTTGATTTTTATCTCATTTAGATTCAATATTTTCAATAAATATCAAGGATCTCATCACTGTAGACTCCCCTCGTGAGAAGAAATTTCTTATTCATGTTACTATAATTTTACTATGTGGTTTATTTTTGTCACTACGATTTATTTTCCCAGCCCTAACTTGACCTACTTTTTTCAATGATACGTCAAAAATTATTACAATTCATATTTAGTTGAAGACATTATCCTCAAAAATTAGTTATTAGTTAAAAAGTTATTTTGGAAATTTTAAATTACCTACATAAATAATAATTATTGTTCATATAGGTCTTATATATCACCATAATTAAAAAAAAAAATTGGTTTTCATTAATATTTGTGATTTAATTTAAGTTTTCTATTATAACTTGTTCATATTAAGTTCCTTTTTCAACTTTTGTACAAAGTATATTAACGTGTGACTACAAAAAAAAATCATTGGTAAAATTTAAAAAAAATTAAGTTCATTTTTATGACAAAATGTGAACACTAATGAATGATAAACTAAAATTGAAATAATAGTTATTTTTTAAATAAAATTAACTATTAATCTTTAAGCAGGCGCGTACCTATTTTTATGTTCTTAGTCGCGTGGGGGTCTATTAGACCCATTTCAATTTTCATGAATAAGTCATACATTTTTTTTTCGAAGGTATTTATTTATGAAAATCGAGTCAATATTACTATAAAAACCATCTTCTAAATTTATATCTATCTATGTATGTACACTAGGGTGGTCCTTATCTACATAGGTCATTTTTTTTTTTTTTATTAAATTCAATCAGGACGCCCCCTAGAATTGTTCTATAGGTTAATAAAATACATTTTGTGAAGTTTCGTGATTGTCCAATGATTTTTTCCCGTGCCGCAGAAGGGTTGAAATTTAATAAATTGGGGTAAAAATTAGTTTTTTACGTATAACTTGTTAAATTTTACTTGAATCAAAAAAATTTACTGAATAAAATTTGTTTAAAAATGTATTTCCTATAAAATATATTATATTATTTTTTACTCTATAATGCATATTTAATTGAATAATCAATAAAACACATAAATACGTCGTTTTTTCCCGATTCTAATTTTTTGCGTAATTCAGTTTTTATTAGCGTAAAAATTGATAGACTACCTGTACTTATAAGTTCAATGGTAATGAGCAACTTCTTGGCGTTCCTTTTATTAAATCAAGTACAGGAAGAGTACAAGCTTCAGCAATTCATAGTTTATTAGTAGAATGGTATATTGAAAATAAAGTTCAGGCTATTTGTTGCGACACAATAGCCTCTAATATGGGGAGATTACAAGGTGCTTATATTATTTTAGAGCAATACCTCGAAAGGGACCTTTTATAAAATTGCTTTATCTAGTGGACCAAATATACCATTGTTTAAAAAATTAAAAAAAAGTTGGGCACAGATTAAAGACTGTACAATAAATCCAGATTTAGAAAATATTACGGTTAAAACACAATTAAACGGCTTAGAAAGTAAATTAATTTTGTTTATAATGGAAAAAATAAAAATTAATCAACCAAGAGAAGACTATAGAGAACTTCTTAATTTGGCCATTATTTTTCTTGGCGGTGATCATTATACAAATATTTCTATTAGATCTCCTGAAGCTTTTCATCACGCCAGATAGATGGCAAAAGCCATTTATTGTTTAAAAATTTTTCTTTTTCGAGTCTTTCGAGCTAACAAATGACGAACGGGTTGGTGTTCGTGATATTTGTATATTTTTGGTAAGAATTTATTTAAAATACTGGTATTCTGAAAATAATTCTATTGAAGCTCCTCGTATGGACTTAGAATGCATGAAAAATGTTTATGAATACACAAAAATTGACGATGCCGTAGGTTTAATAGCACTTTAAATTTAGCAACCAATTATGGTATCTCGCGCCTGAAAATGCCTCAATGGCATTTTATGATGATCAAATACCTGTTGAAATAAAAAGACTTATGGTAAAATCATTACAAACTAATGAATGTGAAGACTTTAAAAAAATTAATCCGCCAAGAAATATAAAACATTTTGTAAGTAAAACTATTGACAAGTTCATTAAGGCAAACTCAAAAATTTTTTTTAAACGTTTTGATATGAAAACTAGTTTTTTAAGCAAAGCTCCCGAACGATGGAATTTAAATATAGATTATCTAGACTGTCAAGAAATAGTGCGAAGATTAAAAGTTGTAAACGATACTGCAAAAAGATCAGTGAAATTAATTGAAGAGTATAACTCGATAATTACTAAAAAAGAAGACCAAAAGCAATACTTGCTCCAAGTTGTCGCAGATTATAGAAAACATTTTCCTGATGCAAAAAAAACACATTAATGAAATAATGATGATTATTTAATAATAATTGATAATAAATTTCCATAATATTTTTTTAGTTGTGTTTTTTTTATAATTAAAGTTTATTTTTATTATTTATTAGTTTTATATTATATGTTTTAATCAGTTATATGTTATAAGACCAAGATTTAGAATTAGAAAATATTTTACTAAACAATATTTGTACATAATTTTCAAATCTAAATTTTATAATCTTTATAGATTTTGTAAAAATTTGTCGATTACGCTAATAAAAACTGAATTACGCAAAAAATTAGAATCGGGAAAAAACGACGTATTTATGTGTTTTATTGATTATTCAATTAAATATGCATTATAGAGTAAAAAATAATACAATATATTTTATAGGAAATACATTTTTAAACAAATTTTATTCAGTAAATTTTTTTGATTCAAGTAAAATTTAACAAGTTATACGTAAAAAACTAATTTTTACCCCAATTTATTAAATTTCAACCCTTCTGCGGCACGGGAAAAAATCATTGGACAATCACGAAACTTCACAAAATGTATTTTATTAACCTATAGAACAATTCTAGGGGGCGTCCGGGCAAAAAAAAAAACTTTGAAAAATAAGAGCCTGTACACCTTTTATGCAATATAATACATCCGTTTTTATTTATGTGGGGGTATGCTAGACCTCCACACAACTGTTTAAGGGTTAAATAATAAAAAATAAAGCGAAACAAATAGTATTTTCTAAATGGTATTATTTTAATAGTAATAAATAGTATCTTTTTTATTATACAGAGTGTTCAGTAAGTTAGGAAACAGTTAAATTGTTATAAACAATGAGTACAATAGAAATTCGTTTCCTTATTTACTGAACACTCTGTATAATTCACAAGATATAAATAATCTAAGAATTTATTAGTATTATTTTTTATCAGATTAATAAAGAAAATTCCAGAAAAACTTACAACAATCACATCTCATAAAATATTAACATATTACCATTGCTTTCAATTTTCAACAGTAAAAACCATAAGTCATAATATCTAATAACATAATTAATAAAGTGATTATTTTTTATTTCAGAAATTACTGCATCAACAACCATTGGTTTATTTTTTAATTTTGTTTACTAATAAAATAATAATATCACATTTCTACTATCACTTCATAAGTGCGTACTAGCGACATGACTTTTAAATCACATTGGCAATGTACAGCCCGCTTATTTTTGAAGTGTATTAAAAGTGCGTATTAGCGACAAGACATTATTCAGTAAACACCTTGGTGAATACTCTTTGTTCATGTTGGCTTAATACTGCCCACTTTTTTTTATTATCTTGAATAAAATGTGAATATCACTCAGTTAAAATTTATAAGAAAATTGTATATAATTATACAATATGCACTAAACAATATACTTATTATCAAAACATATTTGAAGTATATTTGTTTCGTACGAGGCAGCTAGACCGTAAGACGGTTATTTGAGTGCCGCACTAAAATACCGTTTTACCATAAGCCTGTTTAAATGGCTATTATTGAAGCGGAAGTGGGTCGCCTGGGAGGATAACGGCTAACCGCACATCTAATCAGTGATGGTGGGTGCTGGTAGTAGGGGTGCGACTTTAATTATAATGCCGCTAGTTATAGATATAAAAAATTGTCAAATTAAATATAATAAAACGGTAACACAGTAGGGTCGAGGCACAGTGTGGACGAGGCATAGATGGGACAATATAGATGATATCTGACAGTGATTAAAATCACTATGATAAGAAACGCTTCGATGCAAATCTGTATGTAGTGATTAATTTTAAAAAATTGGTGGATAATTACAAAAGCAACATCAACTCTTATTTCTTTAATTATATCCTGATTATTAGTTCTTTGATTTTAAAATATAATATATGAATAAATACTAAATATAGTTATTAAATTTAGTATGAAATTGATATTCAATAATTTAATATTGTAATTTATACGGAGAAATTATAAAATTAATAAAGAATTAAATTTTGGTTTACTTTTACGTATATAAAAATTTAAAGGGCTTGATGCAATATTTTTCAATAAAAACTGTTTGTTACTATTAATAAATGCACTGAACTACAAGGAAATTTCATCAGAAGCAAAAATATACTTTTCTAAATCAATTTTTCGTGTTGTTTTCAAATCTGCAATTAGACTTTTTCTATCACTTCTAATTATTTATATTATTACTAATTACATATAAAATAATAATTAAAAGAAAAAAAAATTTGTTTTCAAATTATTACTGATTTGATTTTAATATGTTAAAAATAATCAGTCCAAATTTTCATTTTTAACCTATTTTTTTGATTGGGTTGATGTAAAATTTTTGATAAAGTTTTGTCAAAGTTTATAATAAAAAAAATTGAATATGTTACCATAACTTATAGCTCAATTACAAGTTTCAAATTGACATAAATAAATAGAAAATGTTATGAGAATTAAAACAATGCTATTTTTAAGATTAATATGCAGTCAGGAAATTTTATAATTACAGTATATTTATCAGAAAAACTCATTATTTTTTTGCATTTTTATCGTAATAGAAACCATAGTAAACATTTCTAAGTAACTTTTGGTATTTAAAAAGATTCTACAATTGAAATATCCAGATCTGAATTAATTTTAATGATTCACTTTAACTAAAACAAAAAAGATTAAATCATTCTACTTTGTAATTTAATAATTGTTTTACTATTACCTAGTAACTTTTGGTGTTTAAAAAGATTTACTCAATTGGGCGTATTATAAAATTTGATTATAATTGTAAAAATCCATTGTTAATTCAGGAGAAATTAACTATCATTTTTTAACACGCTTATATTAGTTTCACATGTATGTTTGTCGTTTGTTGT